CAGGGACAGACAAAACTATTTCACCTGAGTTTTGTAAATAACTCTGCCTGGCCTTGCATTCTATTGAAATATCTGTGTAATATACACAGAGAAGAAAAACAGCTTAAGGGAACTTCCTCATTCCCCACACATCTGCACTCAGATCTCAGATGTTTATTCACGTGCTTTCACATTAAGGATAAACTCTTCCTTTTACAGTAATTAATTGTTAAGTAGTGTCAGGTAATTTGCTCGTTGCTATAATACTTGAAACACGTTTCCTGAGTGTTGTATTGAAACATCATTTGGAAACATGGTTTTAGTCTGGAAGCCCGGCATGCAAGTTCTTTGATCTCCAGCATGGAAAAATAAACTTTAAAATTTAAGGAGAAAACCAACAACTTTGAGGCAGTGTCTGCGGTGGACATGCCCTTGCTTTCTGCACTGCCTTCCTCTTGGGAGTGACAGCCCTTGCTTTTGAGTGTCCTCTGACTGGAATGCTTTTCCCTCTGCTCAGGAGACCATGGTGTTGAAGGCAAATGGGATGGCCAGACCCACCACTCAGTTTCAGTCCAGACGCCCCTGGACAAGTGACTGGCTCTCGGGTGGCTCTTGGCTGTTCACATCTATGAGGTTAAGAACCTAACTTCCTCACGTGGACCATGCGAGCAGTCCTGTGAGATACAGCAATTGCACTTTGTACGGAGGAGGCGAGATTACTTAGATCTTGATTCATCTACCCAGCATCCGTACTATAATTGCTGGCTATAAAAGCAGACCAGGTAGGAATTTCATCCTCCTGAATCATTCTCCTGCTGTGCCTGCAGAGCCCTCAGAGCCACATCTTTCTACTCAGTCATAGCAGAGAGTGGAATGAAGACAGCAGCCGCCCTTTAGGAAGGCCCACAGCTAGCCCCATCCTTCTGGCCTGAGGGAGCTTCCCAGAAGCACCCAGACTCAGACAGTATATAAAGGCTGCAGGATTGCAGCTTAGTGAACTCTATGCTCTGGGCAAGGGCCAGGAGCTAGTCTTTAACCGTGAATACTCCAAACTATAGAACGATACAGTCCTATAAACAACTGATTCCTTCTTCAAAGGGAAATGGTGCGGACCGTTCCCAGCAGCTGAGGCAGAGTGAATGTGTTGGCTAAAGACTGCAAGTGTCTCCTTCCTGCTAGCTTTGCTGATTGTTTACTGTTCCTGCTCTCTCTGGGGATGCTTCCCTCCGGAACTTCCCTTTAACACTTTCTGTGAGTACCTGCTACTGCTCACTGATAGACCAAACTGCTCTCCATCCTGAGAATTCACCACCTTTCTTTGTACACGCTGCTTAGAAGAAATAGGGGTCATGCTCGCTACCGGTACCACTAAGGTCCCTGTAGGAAAACCTGAGCCACACACAGATCCCTATGTAGGCATCAGCGTGGATGTCCTTATCCACCCACCAAAGGGCTGTGCCTAACTCTTGTTTTGGCACACTGGTCTCTCACTGGCTGGAAGAGCAATGCATTGTAGGTGTTCATTTATCTGTCTTCCTCCCCTACCTTAATCTTGGACTCAGCAGCGTTTCTTCATTCTGCATCAGCACTTAGTTCAGACTCTGCACACGGAGTGAATGGGGAAAAGAAAGAAAAACTAAAAGGATGTGACTGGGAAGAGCTGCGGTGGAGGAGGAGAAGGTTTCTTATAGGTAAAAGGGAAAGCATAAGCAGGGACAGAGACAGAGATGTTTGCAAGACTCCAGAGTGAACTCGGCCAGACAGGGCTGGGTCATGTGAGGGGGGGGGAGCAGAGAGGGGCCACTGACCAAGAGGGTGAAAACCATCTGCCTGCACACACGCAGATACACCGCACACGCACGTCCACACGCACGCACAATGACAGAGTTACCAGCACAGGAAGCAGAAGAGCTCGCCAGTCCACACCCTTGAGATTTCTCCCAAGCCTTTTACAGTGCACACACTGTACAACTGGAAAGGGGAACGATGGTGGCTCTCGGTGGAAGGCGCCCTCACGGTAACCGGTGCTATGTTGGTTCTCGCAGCTGCGCAGCAGACTTTCCAAGTAGCACTAAAGTTAGTCATGTGCTGGCAGCATTGCCAGTGAGCATAGGAAGAGAAGGCATACTCGTCAGACAGTTGTGAACTTGCAGAAAACGCTCTGCCAGGCCTCTTGAGTTAACGCAGACTCAGCTGCGACAGGCACCATTTGCCAGTATCTTCCTTGAGCCAGCTTTTAACCCTTGCATTATGAGGTGTGATGTCTTTAATAGCGCCTTTTATGAGAAGGGTGCTATTCTGAAGGATTTAGTATTTTGTCCTCATGAAAGGCTGCATCGGGGCTGGAACACCTTTTCTGCCCACTGGGTTACCGTGTGTGTTAGCCTGTGGTGATGCGGTGGTTTGTTCTCCGTCCCGCCAGCTCTGGCCTCGCCACTGGGTTCGTTTTCATTGCCTGCTTTATTGGTGGGCCGCTGTTTGCCAGTTCTTTGGTAATGAGCTGTGGCCACCAACCTTGCTTAGAAAAGTGCATGTTTCTTCATAACTCTCATTTGGCTCAACATCAAAGCTGAACAAAGGTTACTGATAATGGCTTGGACCTTTTCAATATGCAAATTTGTGGTGGCACAAATGATTTTATATCAGCACAAAAGAGTTCTTAACTATTCCTTTTATCACTGTCTGTTCAATATGTTAAGCTGTAAGACAGAGTATTTTAATTTACATAAATTACTCAGAGCTTGAAGAGTGCATATTAAAATACTGGATTCCAAAGAGCAAGCTCCCCTGGGAATCTGGGGGTTCTGTGTCCTCTGTGAACATAAAGCTATGACTTAAAGCCCAGGAAATTGATCAGTGCTAGCCAAGTAGCTGTACAGATCTACTGCACTTAAAAAGGTATGGTGGATTATATTTTAAATAAATGAACAAAAATGTGGTTTTCTTTGACATGTACAAATAATTTAATCTGTATACCTAGTTACTACAAAATTATGCTGGCAGTTAGTGATAAGCAATACAAAGCAAAACAAAGTAAAATGTAAAGGAACAGGTGTGTGTTCAGGCCTAGGAGTCTCAATCAGGTTCACTTTCTCTGCTAGTTAAAAAATTAGAAGACAGGAAAATGTTGAGCTTGACAGGTATCAGGGAAGATGACAGGCGATCAGCAGTCGAAGAAAGGCTTTTAGCAGAGGTGAAGAGACACACACACAGTAGGCACACAGAAAAACAGAAAGACCCCTAAGCAGAGGGGACACACAGTAGGCACACAGAAAAACAGAAAGACCCCCCAAGCAGAAGGGACACTTGGGAACAGAAAATTTGTCTCTTCTCCAGGGTTGCTCTCTGCACGGTCTTCCTCTCCTAATTTAAGGTGGTTTTAGTTTGTAGAATGACAGGAAGGCTGCTTGGCCCAAAACTGTTGTGTGACAAGCCTTCATCTGGCCTTGGGCTTGGTGAGCTAGTCCGCCCTTGTGGGCTCTGCCTGCGGAAGAAGAAAGTCCATAAGGCCATTGTTTTAAGTTGCCAGACTTTGTTTCAGCGAGGAGGGTAAGGAAGAGGCCAGCCGTCCTGGAAGCTCACCGTCTTTATTTCCTGGTCATTTACCCTGTCTTTATCTGACAGCCTGCTAGAGGTCTGTTTAATTCCTCCTCAGCCAACAGCTGAATAAAGCCATCGAGAGAAACACTTTTAAGAGATGGGGTTTTTAATACTGGTTGTGATTAATGGTATCACATACTGCTAGTGGTTTCCCCTCTTGTGTGTGTGTGGGTGTGTGTGTGTGTGGTATGTGTGAGGTGTGTGTGTATGTGTGTGTGGTGTATGTGTATGGTGTGTGTGTGTGGTGTATAGTGTGTGTGGTATGGTTGGTGTGTGTGTATGTGGTATATGTGTGGTGTGTGTGTTGTGGTATGTGTGTGGTGTGTGTGTGGGGTTGTGGTATGTGGTGTGTGTGTATGGGGGTATGTGTGTGGTGTGTGTGGTGTGTGTGGTGTGTGTGGTGTATAGTGTGTGTGGTATGGTTGGTGTGTGTGGTATATGTGTGTATGTGTGTGTGTTGTGGTATGTGTGTGGTGTGTGTGGTGTGTGTGTATGTGTATGTGGTATATGTGTGTATGTGTGTGGTGTGTGTGGTGTGTGTGTATGTGTGGTGTGTGTGGTGTGTGTGTGGTATATGTGTGTATGTGTGTGGTGTGTGATGTGTGTAGTGTGTGTGGTGTATAGTGTGTGTGGTATGGTTGGTGTGTGTGTATGTGTGTGTGGTATATGTGTGTATGTGTGTGGTGTGTGTGGTGTGTGTGTATGTGTGTGTGGTATATGTGTGTATGTGTGTGGTGTGTGTGGTGTGTGTGTATGTGTGGTGTGTGTGGTGTGTGTGTATGTGTGGTGTGTGTGGTGTGTGTAGTGTGTGTGGTGTATAGTGTGTGTGGTATGGTTGGTGTGTGTGTATGTGTGTGTGGTATATGTGTGTATGTGTGTGGTGTGGTATGTGTGTGGTGTGTGTGTATGTGTGGTGTGTGTGTATGTGTGTGTGGTGTGTGTTGTGGTATGTGTGTGGTGTGTGTGGTGTGTGTGTATGTGTGTGTGGTATATGTGTGGTGTGTGTGTTGTGGTATGTGTGTGGTGTGTGTGTGGGGTTATGGTATGTTGTGTGTGTGTATGTGTGTGGGGGGGTTGTGGTGTGTGTGTGTGTGTGTGTGTGTGTGTGTGTGTGTTACAGGGATTGTTCCCTGGGCCTTGGAGTATGTTCAGTGAGTGCTCTACCACTAAGTTACATCCTAGTTCTATTGACTTTTCCAAGTATTGTCAGAGCTATTTATAACATAAATCTGATCATTTTTAAAGAAATGATCACACTTATCTAGTAACTTTTCGCAGGTTCAGGGTTCATAGCACACCTACACCTGGCGTGCAGTTCTGCCCAATCCCACACACATGAAAGTGTTCTGTTAGTCAGTGTCACTTGCCTGTTTAAAGCCTGGTTGTCCAGTGTGAGCTCATGTGTGGCTGTTCCTTTACAGATGATGCAGTCTCTCAAGGCTCTGGTTGAGAATGCGGATGCCGTGTATGAGAAGATTGTGCATTGCCAGAAGGCAGGTGAGTGAGATCCTTTAATACAAAGTAAAACCAACCCATCATCATTTCCCCTCAAAAGTATGTTCTCATTTTGATACTGCAGCTGATCCAAGCATGATCCAAGCATGTAACCCCAGCACTTAGACTCTGGAATAGGAGGGTGTTGAGGTGAAGGCCAATCTGGGCCTTGTCTCCAAAACTCAAGAATCCCTAGGCATTTCTAACATGAAGCTATGATTGAGAGCCCAAATCAATCTCTTCCTCAGTTCCGTGTTTGCCGGTAACCCTGCCAGTTAGCTGTGAGTTTCTAATGTGAGGGGAACTGGGACAAAGGAATGGTTTTTAGAAAGGACTGGCCACCTTCACAGCTGCTTAATGTGTTTGCATTTTCAGGCCTTGCTAGATTAGTGCATTATGCTCTAAAATTCTGCTTATGTGACCAGCCTCTTTGGACAATGGGATTGTGCTGCAGTGGACTTCTTGTAAACATAAAATGCCCCGTAGTGACAGTGCACTGAACTCGCCGTCCTGCTAAGCAGCAAGGCTTACAGAGGCACAGTGCCCTGCAGAGCATAAACTCTTGTCCCAAGCGCACACAGCTGCTGCTGCTGCTGCCTAAGCTTGTGAGAGAATCACATGGAAACTTTAACTATATATCCCTTCCACTTTCCCTCCATGATAAGGTTAAAAAACATCAGAAGTTTGAGCCCGCTAAATCAGGGACCATCTGTAGATATTTGCAGTTGTAATACTTGTAAAGTGTCTTGTATTGTGATTAAAAAAAAAAATACAGCGCTTTCAGTTCTCCAACTTCAAGTATCGGCTTGGGAGGTTCAGACATGAAGATAGTGCATGTTTTAAGTAAGGCTGACCTTGCTTTCTGGGACTTCTTTAAAATAAAGAGAATTTACATTTGCTGTATTTTCAGAATTAAAGTCACTGTTTTTTTTTTTTTTTTCAGAAATGAATTAAAGTAGATTGAAAATAAAGGCATGTGTGAAAATTTTTGGTATTTATTGGATGAATATTCATATTTGTGACTAATCAACAAACTCCCAATCCACATTTTTGTTAGTAAAATACTGTTAGCAAAATGTTTTATTTCTAGTTCTTTCCAAGCTGGTTCTCCCTACAGTATTCATCCAAATGCCATTTTGGCATGTCATTATCCTACACAGAATCTTGCATTAGATTATCAGGGTGTGTGGATGCAAATCTCATCTCCTACCTCACAAACCAGGCCATCAACCAAGTCTCCCAGCGTTTTGCCAGTATTATATAAGAGTCATCATATACCATCTGCTCCTACATTTAATAATTGTGTTTGAACTTCTATATGCATAAGGCTCTTGGTAGCTCTTACATATCAAAATATGATATGTGAGTCTAGTGTTATCCTTCTAGAATCTTCAGGTCATACAGAAGATATGAAAGTGGTTGAAATGTTGGGTTCTTAGAGCAGTGGTTCTTCACCGTCCTGATGCCACAGCCCTTTAACACAGTGCCTCATGTTGTGGTGACCCCAAACCATAAAGTTATTCTGTCGCGTCTCCATAACTGTAACATTTTTGGAGATAGAGCTTTGCCAAAGGGGTTGTGGCCCACAGGTTGAGAACCACCACAGGTTGAGAACCACTGCCTTAGTGTGCTGGCCAGCACTCAGCTCACCCATGAAGTGATACAGACCCCTGGTGTGTGGCGAAACTGGGCTGAAATGTGGACAGCTGTGTGCTGAGAGTTTGGAAAGGCAGAGCCAGCCTGGGGCTCTCGGCAACCTTGAGAAGGTGTTTGTGAAAGCAGTGAGGAAGGAAGGAAGTGCCCTTCCCCTGCAGCCCCCCCCCGTCCCCCCCTCATCTCCCCCCCCCCAGCACCGTTCCCTGCACTCTATGCTCTCCCATCCTCCCATCGCGCATGCTCACAGGCTTCCCCTCCAGAGAGACTCTCCATGGCCCTCTGCCACCTTGTAGTACTTTGAAAGTTGCCCACTCTCTCTGAAGACCTTTCATGGTTCTAGGTTCATGTTCGGAAAGCATTGTGATCAGTCCCTCGCTCCACTTATTCCCTTCAGTTGGTAGAAGTCAGTTGTGTATTTTATTGATGTGTTCCCTCTTCTAAATGGGACAGCTTCCTACAGCACCAAGATTGTGTATTGTCACACTCTGCATCCTGCCCAGGACATGTGTTCTAACATTCTGTGCAGTGTGGCATGAATGTTAACTAAAAAATGGGATTTGACTTTTATTTAGTATTCTGTTAAGCACATGCATGGGTATTTTGAATTTTGTGGAATTTTAAATGAACTGTTTATTAATGCAACTATTTAGTTGTGTCATTTTTGCAAATTCAGTGGTTTGTGAAATTTGATAGCTTCTTCTGTGATGGGCTTGTGTTGTTCAGCTTGATTTTGGTAAGGAAATGCTTGCTGAATTCAGCAGTTATCCTGGTGAGAGGTGGAAGGTGACCACTGTGTTAGGTCCAGGTAAGCCCTGGACCTAGAGCTATAAACCAGAATCACCTTTGGGTTGACAGTTACCCTTGCCACCTAGGCAGGAACCCTTAGAGCTTTGGTCTTTCATTTCTCATGTATACAGTTATTAGTCATATGAAGTCGTATTAGTCATATGAAGAATTACTAATTTGTATTGAGTTCAAAGACATCTGTGTAAGATTCTACTTTAGAAATAATTATCACTCCACTTGCAGAACTCCAGTCTTGCAAAGGAAGTTACAGGTCACCAAATGGCATAAGAAAGAACTGAGGATTTCTAGCTTCTAAACACAAATTTATATTCTTTCTACATAACATTTCATTTAAACAATTCAGCAGAAATAGAAATCCCAGCCCAGTCACTTTCTGAGAAGTGCTCCTGCACTAGAACTTGGAGCTTTAGCAGATCTTGAGAGACAGCAATGTGTCATTGGTTTTTAGTGGAGAGGGAGTTGGGCAGGCAAGGTTTGCTCCCTAATGAAGACCTCCAGCTATTACAAGCTGGCAGTCTGCAGGCCTCCAGGGGGCCAGACCCATACAGGGCAGAAGGACAAGCCACAGGAACAGCACTGGTGGGTGGCAAGTCTTCTCTAGTTTATTCTTTCAGGAGAAACTGGTGACAGAGAATATTGGGAGGGGGAGGGATAAGGAATATTTTAATAAGAAAACTCTGCAACTGGTAACAGAGAATATTGGGGGGCATGTAAGGAACATTTTAGTAAGAAAACTCTGTGCATGGGACTATGAAGGACTCAGTAAAAGATGTTAAAACACACATACCCTTAAAAGGTGGGCGGTTAGGAGATGGAAACTGGGTGGTGAGGGATGGAAGGGGGCAGGCCCATTTCTGAGACTTTAGAGAAAGGAAAGACCTAGAGGAGGCCATTCCCCGGCGGAGGTGCACAGAGAAGCATTGCTACCAGGACCTCAGCTTGGGGGAGCAGGCAGAAGTGAGCTGGGGGGGGGGGGCGTTGAGTCAGGGGGAGAGTGATAAAGGACAGAACCACGTGTGCATAACTCCAGGCAGTGAGCAGTAAGGGCACATGGAGGAGAGCTGAGGAAGATATATCATACAATTATTTTTATGACATGTAAACACTGATTAAATCTGCAAAATTCTTCTAGGGGAAAAAAATCTTTCCTACTATTTCTTTTTCTCATCCAATGTCCAAAGCCAACGCCTTCCTTTGACTGGTGGGTCTCTTCTCATCACTGAATTGACCTGCTTCTTGAAGGTCAGGGGAATGAACTAGGAGGAAACACTTGTTTTTATCAGGTAATTTGAAGTGGGAAATTGTCTCTGGAGGAGACTAACTTCCTGAGAGAATTAACACCTTTGGTTAGTATCTATTCCCTCTTAAAACCTCATTAAAAATGACCAAGAGCCTTTTTTTTTTTTTTTTTGGCAAAAATTCATAAAGACAAAGAGAGTAGGAACAGCAAATTTCAGAGGCTAAAAGAACAGGTGACAGTGGCCAGAGGAGTGACAATCGCTGTGTGCCACCCAGCAGAGCTGCCTGCCGGAAGCTGGCATGGCGGCGGTAGTGGTGGATGGGGTCTAACAAGCCACATCATTCCACTGCAGACCAGCCTCCACGTGCAGACGGATGCTCAAAGGTTCTCACACGCGGTCCTCCCGGAGAGTGAAAGCTTTTATTGCCTTCCTCTGACCTCGCTAGTGGAGCTGCTTCTATAATGACTCCTACATAGCTCTGCTATCTTAAATACGTTTTCTAAAATCTTATTTTGAAGTTTTAGGCTGATGGCTGAGTCATCTTGATGCACATCTATAGCAAGGCTATGCTTTAATACAGCGATTTCCCCAAGCCTCGGTTTGGAGACCCTGTTAGGTGTGAACTCATGCCCTGCTTGCTTTATGTTTATGTCCTTCCCTCTTTGGTAAATGTTAATAACTTTAATTTATCTCCTTTTATTCAACTCTCATTCCCTACTGCTCATTCATACTAGCTTTCCAACCTCCCATTTGTATGCTAATGCTATTCTGCCTTCTCTTTGCTGCTTCTATTCCGCTGAACAGTTGGCATCTACCCCATGGCTAGCATGGATAGATTTGTCTCACCTAAAGCAGCTGAGAGCTTAGCACTCTTCTGTGTGGGGAGGACTAGCAGTCTTAGACAGACCTGCCCGGTGTGGCTTCCAACCAGAGGCCTCTGTTTTTATTGCTGGCAAGCTCCTTGGAGCTCCCAGTATACCTAGGAGCTGTAGTCACCAGACGAGGATCTAGTCACCATCATCACACAGTACTGTCACATCTTTGTTTAGCCCAGCACAGAAAACTGCTAACATCGGTCCACTAGTATTCTAGCTAAACTGCAAGTCATCAGGAAGGGCTCCTGCTAACATCGGTCCACTAGTGTTCTGTCTAAACTGCAAGTCATCAGGAAGGGCTCCTGCTAACACCGGTCCACTAGTGTTCTGTCTAAACTGCAAGTCATCAGGAAGGGCTCCTGCTAACATCGGTCCACTAGTGTTCTGTCTAGAAAGATTTGCAGAAGGAAGCAGGCTCTCTGAC